AAAGTTTGTGGGATTGTAGGGAAGAGACAAGACAAACCCAAAAGCATTTAATTTGTTTAAAGTTTCACCTCTTGGAGTCTCTCTTCTTAGCATCTACGAAATGCTTTCCACAATAAAATAAAAAAACCCAAGCCTCAAGAAAAAAAATGCACTGTCAGCATGTTGACAGCTCGTAGGATTATCCTTCCTCTAATTCATGCAGTTCCACAGAAAGGTATTTCTTTCTGCCAAGTACCTAGTTGAGAAAATGTTACCAGCAAATAACTGCCCTCAAATACCCACAGGGGCAGAAAAGTGGCCTGCCACCTGAAGTGAGGCATCGCCCGCAGTGTCTTCCCCAGCCTCCACCACAGCACATCTAAAGAGTGGAGTTAGAATGACAACTATCAGGAAGCTGAGCTCTGAAGGAGAAATACATCATTCATGGAGATATATCCAACCAGTCATGTGACACAGATATTATAATCTGGCAGAACTGCCACTTCCGGTTTTATAAGGTTTCTATCAAACCTCCACATGTAAAATCTCCATCACTTTAAAACACATTATTAGAGAAAAAAAAAATAATCTCCATTAACTTGCCTATTTTTTCAATACACAAAGTCTATAAAGTTCAAGAGTGTCAGACGCCAAGCCAGTTATCACACATAATTACCCACCAATAACTCAATGAGATAATATCTGAGAAAAGTAATAGTCACCCTTATATTCTGCATCCCAAGGGGATTGAAAATGGCTCATTTCACATGCCCAGAATGCTCAAACTAATTTTTATGTGTTTTCAGATGGCTCCACATGCTTTCAAAGGTGAAGTGTCATGCAATGTGCATGGAAGAGACATAAATACATGTTTCACAAAGATTTAAATGCAAATCACGCTTCTTTATGAGGATTCAGGTTTCCTAGACTTTCATAGAAGAACTGGTACTTTCTACTTGATGAACTATATTAAAAATGTCATGAATGTCATAGTGCCTTACTTGTTCTCGTTGCTGGCATCATATCGAGGCATAGGGTCAAAATCATTTCCATTGACATCAAAACTGGCCTGCGAATCCTGTAGCCAACAGGAGAAAGAAAACCAGTTTCTCATTAATTAGCCATTGACTCATGTGGCCTATACATTCTTTAGCAGGTTCCTACAAGAGAGTAATTAGGTTAACTAACATTCCTGCAGTTTTATGATGATTGCATGTTTTAGAAAAGGATTATATATTTAATAATTATGGGATTTACATATTTTATTTTATTTTTGGAAAAGAGAGAGGGATAACAAATGCTCTGAAAAAGCATAGTTCCAGTGTCAGAGAGGAAATAGAAAGTGGTGTTTCATTAAACCAGAAGACTACATTTCTTCCAAGAAACTTTTGGAAGTTAAGAGAGTTCACTCTGAAAATTGGGATTTTGCTAAATTTTTCAAGATTCAAGAAATTATCTGCACAACGATGACTGAAATTTCAGTCATAGTTTCAAGGAATAAGAATAACATAATTTTCTTAAGAATATTGTTATAGTAGAGCTTGAAATGCAAGATAAACTTCATTCACATTTCCCTGGTAGTGTAACTATTTCAAATATTTGCATGACATGTCCATATTTTTGTTCCACATTTTACATTTACCAGGATTCTTACAGCTGAAAATAGTTTATAGAGTAAATAGCTGTTGGTTTGTATGGCTCCCATTAATTAACGCGGTAGCATGTGGTGTGTTGACATGGCAAGCAGCTCTTTTTAATCTCTTCTTTGTTCAAAACCAGTTACCACATCCACCTCAAATATTCCTGTTTGCAGCCACACCAGCAATAATCTGACATATAGAAGGCATTTGTCATCAAACAAGCAATGTGTACTGCTTTGGGGGAATTCCTTGTTGGTGTGAGGAAAGAGAGAGAGGAGGTTGTAAGGGAATAAATAGCTGCTTTAAATTCAGTGGAAGGACAGTGCTGGGATGAGGTGACATATGATACAATCTGGGTCATTCATTGAGGAGGTAAAATTATATTTGGGTTGCTTAAATAACTTAAGAGATTAAAATGAAAGATGTGAGATGCATCAAGCATACATTGACAAACAGGGCAATTGCCTGTCGCTTGTGTTTGTGCAGTCCTCATGTATTTCAAAGCTGCATTCTATGTGCAGCATGGGGAAGGATATGGATGTAAGTATGGCTAATTTAAAATAAATGGCTTTAAACTGTGGACACAACTGTAGCTTTTGATGAGTTGTTAAAGATGTTTTTGTCACCTACATCTCTTCAATGCTCTGTTAAGATGACACACTCGCTAGCAAAAAGCCTGTGGTCAGGGCTTTTTTACATGATCTATGTCTGTAACAGGACTGAAGTTACATGCATAGCTTGCGCTGGTCATCTTCATCAGTCTGGCTCAATCCAAATGTATTTGTTTATTTTCTTACCTCGTGTGGATGTACACCTTGCACACTTTATTTCAGAGAAATGATAAGGTCCTGAAGGTCATGTGCTTTCAGGTAATGCCTACTCTGAAAGCACGGGACTAATCACTCCAAAATCACTCCAAAACCATGCAAAGTGCGGCCATGATGCCCTGAATAGCTTCAAACTCTGACACTAACACAAGAAGTCACCCACTAGAGAAGCAGCTTCTCCTCATGTTATCCAATCCTTCCAAGGTATATTAAACCAATCATTTAAATATGATGAACCACAAGCAAACAGAAACTTCCTGAGGTGACATGAAACACAGAACACAGAAAACAAAGCCTCTATTAAAAATTGTGAGGAGACTCACTGGAGTTAAGAGAAATTTACTAGAGAGACCCCAAAATATTCTACACCTGTTTTTAACTGAGTGAATCATAACAAGTCATGTCCTTTTCCTTTAATATTATTTCTAGCAGTAAGATAAATAGCTATAAAAATAAATACATGGGAGGATACGCATAAAATTTCAGTCTCTGAGAAAAGCTACTGTCTTGCTAGCTAAATGTATTGGCCAAAAATGGACTTCAGCTGCATGCATTAACTGAAAAGTGGTGTATTCCATTTCTAAGTTCTGAGAGTGTGAGGTTATTAAGTAAAATAATTACAGAAAAGAGAAAAAAACATCTGATGATTAGTTCCAGTCCTTCAGAAAATCAGGACTCGGCTACAAGAGGCATCCAGATATTAAATACATTCAGACTGAATATATTCTTAAGTAAATCAATACAGATTACCAAAAGCTGTCTTCCTTCCTCCCATTGCTGTTAACATTTGAGGAAACCCTTGTATGATTCATCCTCCTTCCCTCCTCCCTCCCTCTTTCCAGGAGCAGCAAATTTATTCACGGTAATAATAAAGCAGCAAATCTGGACTCCTCTGGACACTCACATAATTCTGCATCAAGTCTGGATGGTTTCTTTCAATGCCATCATCCAGGATGGTGACCACAACGTTTTTTCCAGTGTAACCTCTCTTCCAAGCACCTACTATATTCATATCTGATTGGCAATGGTGGGTGTTATCACTGCAGTGCTGCGAAGAGAAGAAGAGATATAGATGTTAGATGTTGTAGATTACTGAACAGTGTAGGGTTGAGGTATTATCCTACTTACATTAACATTACCATTTAAATCAGCACATGAGCATATTGGTTTGAATAGCAACTATACAAGATCAACACCTTCATTTAGACAGAAAATAATTTAAAAAGAAACACCAAATTAAATGAATTAGCATTTCATGCTAAGCAACAGAAAAGGGACGCGTCCAGCCATACTGAACCACTAGAAGCCATGTGTAAAACAAAGCAACTATTCTTGGCTGTTAAGCATGCTCATTTGAAATGTACATTTGAATTATTTGAATTTTTTCAGAAAAACAAACCATATGTGGATAAAAGTAGACAAATGCCTGTACAGAAATGGTCATGGAAACAAAACTTGCTTTTTGGAGCTTATGTGCTGTATAATTTCTTGACAGAATGTCTGGAAACTAATCCAGATTCATTTCTATCTACAAAAGAAGGCTTTTGGCAGGTTTTGTGCAATATCAGCAGGAGATGAGCAGCAGTTAAGAACCTGTAACCAAAACAACACCCTGAAAAACTTGCAGCTTAAGGTGTCTGATGAATCGCAGATAGTTACATTGAACAGCCTGGGGTACAGCTTTCAGAGCAACCAAGTCCAGTGTGGTGGAGAAAGAAAGTTTAGGGTACATTAAAACTTAAAGCCTCTTCATATGAATGCACCCAGCTCATGTGAAGAAATCTGTCTTGCCATGGCAATGAGACATGACCCTCAGGTATGTGTATGCCCCATTAGCGACTCTAACCCACACGCAGAGCCCTCCCCTGTGAAGTGAGTTCAATGAGCCTCTCACTGGCACTGCTTTCCTCCAGCTCCTTCAGGCTCAGACATGAGGCAAAAAAATGAAAAAAAGAGGGGATGCAGGGAAGGGGAAAAGCAAAGGGTGGGAGGAAGGAAAAAGAAATTAAAAAAGAAACTTGTATCATAGCAACAGTGGCCACACAAGCATGCTCCACCTCACTCCCTGTCCCACTGCCTCGTGTCCCCAGTTCAGCCTCATGTTTTGGCACTTCACAATTTCTAAGGAGTCTATCCTTCTCGTCCCAAATGTAAGCACACTGCAGAATTGTTAACCATACCGGGTGCAAACTGACATCAGATTACTATTAAATAGTAATTTTACTCCTGCTTTTTCTCCAGTTTATCACCCTGTTCTGTCATACACAAACCAGAGGATTTAAGAGTGGTCTTTTGCTGTTATTAAAGCAAGATTATATTATTAGGCACTATCTATATGTACACAGTATAATATAAAGTCTCTCTCATGGTCTTTCTCTTATGTCTGCAAGTATCTGCCTCTCTGTCCCTGACATCAGGGACCAGTTCCAAGGAATCTATAGGGCAGGCTTAATGCTATTGTTCTCTGCATTACGTGGAAAAGCTCACGCTGCTGGCTTTATGAAATTAATTACAGTCTAAACTTGTCATCTGTACACTGAATGTAATGGTTGTACACATGAGGCTTTCTAATGTACAAACAAGGGGGTTAAAACTGTGTAATGTTTCCAGATGCCTTTGCATTTTTCAAAAGTGTTACTGAATTAGGCATCAGAAAACACCTGCAAAAGCTATATATTGTTGTTCACGTTTTGCTGATGTGAAGACAAGGAGACAAAAAGATGGAAGCACCAGCCTCCAGCCACAGAAAAACCCCAAGAGTGTGCTGCAATGGGAAGCCAGGATTCCTGGCTCCGACCTCCAGTCAAATTTACTGGGCCATTACACTGCCCCTTCTCTGAAATGCCAAATGACCCTTTGGCTGCTTTGCTGACTGTCTTGTCCTCTCTTCCTAGGGGATGAGATTGTTGTTTTGCTTCCACGCCAGTCAAACCACTCAGGCTGAGCAAGCATATGGGTTTTTAATCCTCATACCCTTGCAAGTTCTTTGGCTCTCCACCAGAAGATCACTCCTTTTTCCTTTAATGATGTTGGCACAGTCAGTTGTTGCCCTCACTTACCTTACCTGAACTTCTGCTTTTGTGGTGGTGGCTGGAGGGGGCTAATTCATCAGCTGCTTTGCTACATGCATGTAGACAAACACAAGACAAGAGATCTCTCTTGCTTTACCGCATGCTCTGATGATTCCCTCAAGAGATGTGACAGATCAAATTGATACTCAAATTATCTTGCTCTGCTCCAAGAGTGGGCAAAAAGCTAGTCTAAACAATCTTTCTGCATAAAAGAAATTCCAGGGGTAAAGCAGGCATAACTGCGTGCCCACTTTTAACTTTGGATCACAGCATACGTAACATATGGATAAAAAAATGCAAAGGCAGCAGAGAAGCATCCAAGTGGGAGTAGTTCAACAGCAGATGAAGGGTTCAGTTCTTATGGTTACAATATATAACTCACCCTCAAATCCTAAAATCTTTGTTTTCTTTTCACTTCTATTCCTTACTCTTCTTCCTCCTCTCAACTCTTTTTCTATCTATGCTTTTCTCTCCCTGCTCCTAGCCTCATTCTTCTCTTCCAAAACTGTCTTTTACCACTTAAATTCCAGTTTTATTTGGTTCAACAGCTGATCTCAGATTCCCGTGTTTTAACCACAAACTACACCTTCCCCCAGATTCGTGTCTGATTTTCTCCAGATTAATCAGACTGTGCACTTTTCTCTCAAATCAGTCAGATTTGGCTTTTATCAGGAAAACTTGGAGTGCAATTACTCTTCAAATACTATATAACATGGTATAGATATGCTGCTACACATTGAAGAGCATCTAAGATACCATCTATTACTTG